CCTAGAGTCTTCGACTTCACTCCAAAATATTGCTTATGGAAATCCATCCCTGCTCAGAACGAATTTTCAATTTTGATATTCGCCATTTATTTCATTTATTTCTTATGAGGTGAACATACCACAAATAAAGGATCCATTAATTACAAGTGGACAGCTTCTTGTTGTAAGTAACTTTCAGATTGGATTCTACGAACTTGACGAATTTAAAACAATGGAAGAGGTCAATGGCACTCCCAAACGTTTTGATGATTTGATGAATTGTATCGCAATGACGTTAGTATTCTTTACATCTGTGAATGATATAGTTTCTAGCAAGTATAAAAACAGTTCTGTACTTGCTACAAATTCTTATGACTTTTATATCATTTTTTTGGTGCAAGTGTATTGATGAACGTATATTTCATGCTTTGAAAATAATGGAAATGGAAAATCAGGGACTAGAGAGACAATACAGAAATATGAAGAATAATTTACAGGTAATATTGGAAAACAAGTAATGTGAGCAGGAATAAATAACCTGGAAAAATATTTAATATAAAAGTTATTAACTCCAATTTATTTGTTATTTATTTCATAACTGTAGGCTTGATTGTATGGGATTCGTATGTATCTGTCGACATAAGAAACTAACTAATTATCATTTTATTTCCAATAAGGCTTTTGGTAGCGTTTCTCAAAAATGTTATGAAGCAGATCATTGCGATTGTGAAGATGAACTTAGTCAAGTGAATCTAGTCTGAATTTGACAATCAAAAACACTATCCATAATTTTAGGGAAATTCTACTATGTACTCAATAAAAATAACTAAATAACTTAATTTAATTGAATACACAGTATTAAATGAATGAATATGTATATATTAAGATTGTAATAGGTATCATATCATAGGTATCATGATTTATTTTTTATTGAGTGTTTCCTTCGTCTCCATGTTAGGTCGATCCACACCGGTGTAGATGTTTGGCCACATGCCTTCACTCTCACATTCTAACAGTGGTCTTGCTAGGCGTAAGCTTCGTATGTCTGAAGTTCTCCTTTGGGTTGAGCCCAGATCTTGAAGATCAGGAGGTTGCACTATATCATCAGACAGGTAGTCGATACCCGCTTCTTTTAGAAGCTTTTCTATTTTATCTTTACACTGAGAAGGGTGTTGTAACTCACGTTTTTTCTTCAAAACACCTGGAGCACGTTCTCCACTCAGCGACATTCTGTATGAAAGAAACGAAACAAAGTTATATATGGTATTATAAATTAACTTGAGTGAGTGTCTACCACTTCATATAATTCGGTCATTAGATTTAATCTATATATTTCTCATTCAATGCGGTAAACGATAATTTAAAAGTTAAAACATGTATTTATTTTCTGTTGATTTGATATTGAAGTATTGCAATTAGCGTATTTTAAATTTAAATGTAGTCTCCGACTAAAGTTCTTGTATGGACTTGCAACTAAATTTCGACTTAAACATACATAACACTTTTTTCCCGAAAAATAGTAATTGAAATATTTATACACATACCTCATGAATGCATCAACATTTGACAAATGGGTGGTAGATGGTGGGGTTTCAACTGGTATATCTCTGAAAAAAAATTATATAAAATTATAATATTACACTTAATACATTTAAAAAATGAAGAAAAAAAATATAGATTATTAATCAATAAATACTTCATACTTATTAATATACTTTGCACGAGCTGTTTCGATTAACGACTTTTTATCGATATTAGGAGTAATTACACCTTTTTTGCCGTGTTCCTCCTCTAACATCTCACCGTAACCATTATTTTGAACCCGTTGTGCCTAATTAGTGAATTAGTGAATTTTTAAGAATTAAAAATCTTTATCTTTCACAACTATTTTTTAAAACAGCGAATTATTATTACAGCGAATATTCAAGAAATAAATACCTGAACGGCAGCCAATTGTTTAGATGACATATTCATTGCTATTTCGGAATAATCAGACATTTCCTGAAATAATATGAAAATAATGCACTTTTATATCAAATATAACATTTATTCAGATCTTTGTTAGAATGCAATTAAAATATATTTTATATAACACAAATTTGAATATTCGATAAAAAACACCTTCAACAACGGTCGAAAGCTCTGCTTACTAAAAACACACCTCTTATATTGTTGCACTATTATTTATATTTATTTGTTATTTAAATTTAATGAAATTTTATTTAAAAAATAATAAATTAATAATGAATTATCTTGAAAATGTACTTACTATGAAATTTTCACAAATCAATTCACTTGCATAAGAAAAAATTTTGTAAGTCAAAAAGATTGACAGTGCAATTCAATTTTTGACAATCAGGGTTTTGTTTAAAATTTTAATTAGGGTACTCACAAAAACTCCCAAAAAGTCCCAAAAACTCCTAAATGTCTCTTATATAACTAATATTCTGGCAAATATCTTGAAACTTGAAGTTTCTGCTTCATGCAATTCGCCGTGAATAGTAACTGTGCAGCAGCGCAGATGAGCATTAAATAGATAGAAATAGAGCAAGCAGTAGCTCTAGAGGTATGCTGTAGGTTTGTTTAGTAGGTCTAACAATGGAGTAAAGAAATAAAGAAAACTATTTAAACACATACACACAGAAGAAAAAGTGTACGGACACTTCTTAATATTTACATTTACCGTTAATTTAAATTCGCTTGCAAACATAATCATGTAATTAAATGATATTTAATTATCAGTTGACTACCTAGTGTCTAAGAATTAATCATTTAAAAATATTTTGGATGAAAATAATAAATGTTTACTGTTGAAATTACTAGACGTCAAATTAGTGTTAGTGAACGACAAAAACATTACTGTTCAATTCTGAAAAGACGACGTAAGCCAACGAAAAATTGCTGAAGATATTGGTCGACAATATTCATCTGTGCGGAGAGTTGCACATAACTTCAAAGAGACGGGTACTTACGATTCTGAACCTTTTGAATAATTAACTAGAATTTTTATTATATATTTTAATTAAATATTTATAATCAATTAAAACTTTTGTTGTTTGTAATAAAATCCGAATTCCTATTGACAGTTAACAGCTGACAACTCAAACCTCAGACTCGTTTTAAGGTGTTAACGCAATGCTTAAAAATGATATTTCTTACGAAAAGTTTTAATGTTTCAAAAATATTTTGAAGAAAAGTAAAGATAGTAAGTACAGTTGTTATAAAAAACAAAAGGTAATGTGTATTAAATTTCTTTTTACAGAAGACACACAAAAGTTCTACAATTTTAGATTTGATATAATTTTTGATGAATGTGGGACTTCAATTAATTTTTTATTATTTCCATTTCATTGGAAGCATTTTGTGTGAGAACTGCGTGAACTAACAATTATTAAATGTTAGATCATAATCAGATCATTAGATCTGATCATTTACTAAATAAATTGTTAAATATTTAACTTAAATTCTGTCTGCCACATTTGCTCGTCGAGTTTTGAGCAGTAGATTACCGAAGTGTACTGTTACACTAGGCTTGAGTATAACTAGGAATAGATAATTTCCTTTCTTCTATATCAAACCTATCCTTTGACTATAATCACTTGCAGTAGATATTTTTGTAATTATGATTTGCTAGAAAAATGATTCAATTTCGCTGTGTTTCAGCAACATTTTGATATTGATGATAATTCGATCAATCAAATCTTTTTACTCTGTATGTCTTTTCTAGTATTTTTGTACACATCTTGGTCCTCTTGATCTTGTACTTGCCTATTTGTAAATTTAATAAATAAATCAACTACAATATTACTATAGCATATTGTACAATGAAACGTACCATAAGAATGGTATACCTAATTTAATTCAAGGCAGAGAATTGCTTTACTTTCTGTTGATATCATACCAAGAAAATATATGCAATCTATAGACTCCATCTATATGGAGTGTGTTGATTTGCTAATGCTCATTTGTGTTACGAACCCCTTAATTTTCCACTTGAGTAAAAGCTCTAAAAACTTAAGAGAAACTTGCGACATCCTATTATATTTGATTATCGCAATCCACACTTTCTTGATACAAAAATAATATATTCCATAAGATGTCGCAGTTCGCTCATACAAATTCTAGAGCTTTGGTTGAAGTGGACTATCATGAGGTTCGCAACAACAATTTGCTTTAGCCAGTTAATGCCATCCACATATTCTTGATACGATATATTTTGTTATTATGATTTTAACAGAAATGAATACAATTCTGTTAAAGCAAGTAAGATTCTGATCTGATGCACTTGGGGTTGATGTTTATATGGCAGCTTTACTAGGCAAAGCAAATTGTTGCTAATTTTTACTGCTTTAAGCAGATCATTTTTTTGTAAAAACTCATGAATGGATGAAAATATATGCTTATTTATTTGAAGAAAACCAGCAATGTTTGTTTTTTTTCTCAGCACTACAAAGAGTAGCACACTGATGGAAGTGGTTCTAAAGTCAATGGGTTATATTCTTTCTAGGTTGATGCAATGAATTCACAATCACATACACGAGTTTTGTTAGGGTAATTGCTTATATCATCTGTCCATCTCTCTTCTCGGTAAACCTCTGTCACCAATTAGTGGTTTTGCTAGCAGTTGTTTTCTGATTTACTTGGAATGCATTTCTTTGCACATCCCCCAATAGTTCTACAAACAAGAATTTTCTATTCTATTCTAGATATCCTACTTTTTGATTGAGCTGGTTTTGATTGGGCATATCGTGCAGTATTGCGATACCGTTAATTTTCCAAACTAACGAAGTACCAAAAACTGAATTAATTTTTATAATTTAATAAACATCACTGTGTCACCTTAAGTGAGAACTAAAGTATTTACAGGATTATATATACAAGATATCTGAAGGTTATATTTACAACTGAAACTCTATGATATATTGCTGCGATTGTACCATCTATTTAATGGCATTTGCAGGCACGTGATTCCTACATATTTTCAAATTATTTGCTATTTATTAGAATAGTATAAAAGATATAGTCCCAGATATAGTAAGATTCTTTGTTTAACAGAAGTTTACTTTTTAATTCAGTGAAATCTTCAAGATTCTAGTACAGTAAAGTACAGTACTTATATTAGTACAGTAATATCTTCAGCATAAATGTATATCCCAAATTTTTTTGGACAGGGAATCATAAGATCAATCACCTCATTTTATAATGTTAATTTTTTTATTTGCCGAAAGTAACGTGTCTTATGACAAAATGACGTCATTAATAATTTTATTTTGTTTGATTTGGTGAAGTTGTCTCGCACAAGCACCCATTGTAAGTATTTAATTATACTGAAATTTTTTCGTATTCCACATTATAAAAGAGTTGGCTTAATTCCAGAGTGGTCTATACTGTTGTTGTCATGATAACCATAGAAGATTTGTTGAGTAGATAACATGAAAGGAATTGCAAAAGTAGGTGATGGTAGTTTGATGGTGAAGAGGACTATTCAGGAATAAAAATGAATAGAAGGTGGGTTTGATTTTAATTGAAATCTATTTGGATCAAGGCGCAGAAACCCGACCACTTCAATAACGTGAATCCAAATACAGGTTAATTAACACCTTCAAAGGCTTGGATGTTTACATGTAAGCATGCGCATAACCAGAAATATGGAGAGTGGGGTTTGGGACCAACTGGGATTATGAGAAAATAAAAAAAATTTTGGAATTACAAAATTGTATCAAATTAGTTATTTAAAAGAGTAAAAGAATATATATGAATAAAAAATTTACTTAAAGCTATTATTCCCACTAAATCATACTGAAAGTTGTAGTGCAATTGAGATAGTTCAAAGAAATAGTAATATTGAAGTTTCCAAAGGATTATATTTATTCAACAAGAAAGCAGTTTGTTGATCGGCTGTGTACCACTCAAAACTATTATTCCACCCACATTTTTCTAAAAAGTTGCAGTTCAATTAGGCCACTTTTTAGTAGTTAATGCAATCTGTTAAAATATCTTTGCCTGTAAAGTTAATGATGTAGTATTGCTAATATATTTTGTTTCCTTGTGAAACCGATACTCATTTTTGTCAACTGAAATGCATGTCCTTAGTGAAAGGAGACTGTAAAATTTTAATTGCTTGTGTTTGTCTATTTGAACAACTTAATGCAGTTAGCATTAGAACTGAACAGATACATTAAACTAAGTTGATTCCGGCAGAAACATGAACAGCTATTGTTAAATGCTCTCAATCGTAAATAAACTAAAATAATCAGCAAACAGAAATCAGAAATTCCAACTGCGTTTCAAACGGCAATTGCAACTTAACTGATGCATTTTCAAAACGCTCCTCTGAGCTCATTTGCGTATTGCATTGTCAAGGAAGCATTTAATATTAAAATGAAATATGCATGACACATCATTATCACGCCATAATCACCAACAATTTCAGAAAATGACTTTCGGTCATTTTGTCTATCCGAAGTCGTGTTGTGGTTGAAATTTAGTTACTCGATTTAGCTTATGTTCATTTGAAATTTACAAACAAAAGCAGATACTCGTTCGCTACCGCATGTTGTATCCATATCTGTGAATCTGTTCGTGCTTGTATCTGCAAAGTGACTGACATCATGATATGCGATATCAGGTTACAAAATCATAAAATTTGCACACATAATTGCAGTTGCAGCAATAGTTTCGGTTCGTCTGCGAAAGCTGATTAGGTTGAAATGTACTGAAATTATGTGTTGACAATTACTGTCCGTAAGGTCCCTGCATAATAAATGCTACGAACACGTCATAATAAATACACCCCACTGTTGTCAGACAAGGACTTGTTGAAATGTTATGTTATAAAATAGTTTAAATATTTCTTCAATGTTTCATACGAAACCGCAAATATTAGTAAAAAGTATATCTTACACTCACATACAAATAAAATGAGATCTATTTAAATCAATATCACGTTCTATTGTTAAAATTTTCGCAACTATGCTACAAGATTATAATAAATCAATACACATATTATACACATACGGATTTTTACATTAAACGAAATAAGATGCATTAATACATAATACAAAACCACGTCATTACTGCCTTAAGAAGAACATTATCTCTTCAGAAAATAACATAAAAACAGAGCAGGGAATCTGTTGAAGATTATTATATATGAATAAAGTAGTTGTAAATTACTGATATGTAAAATCTATTTCTTTGGTTTATAAACATTTTGTCGTTACATACATTTCATCGCGGCGTATGTGCCTAAATGAACACTAAATTGCAATGAGTTGTTTACCATAATGAAATATTAGGTGCGGCGTATGTGCCTAAATGAACACTAAATTGCAATGAAATTACGATGAGA